GATGGTGTGATTTATTTTCTACCAAGACTGCTGGCAGCGCCAACGAGCGCACCAAGTCGTGCACCAAGATTTGCACCGCGCATCATTCCATATCTCCTAAAAATAACATCATCTGTTTCAACTGATTTGCAATCTATTTTGGTTCAGCCATAAAAAGTGTGCGACACTAAGCGTCATTCACTAACCATACAATGGGAAACGTTATCTGTGAATCCACATCAATCACTACAATATATGGAAGGGAAACGATAATGTTAAGTTGCTTTTATTAGCAATGATAACCATAAAAAGTTTGAAAGTTGCTGCGTAAGATTTGCTCGGAAAACGGAATGGCACTAAGTTAATAAATTTTGATGAATACGAAAGGAAGGTAACAGACAAAAATGGAAACATGCAAGGTTTATTCGGTTATTACACTGCTAACTTCACCACTCTCAAAGTGTGAAAGTTTCGCAGAGAGAGCTCTGCAGTAAACACGTTCCAGTTGTATATCACATTTCAATGATGACAATTCATTCGAACATTGCATGATACTGCTCGAAATGCATCAATCACCATTGTTATCAGAAGAAAATGAAGTAAAAAAGTGACTGTAAAACTTCACTATACAAGTGGAACGTCTCCTATTCGAACTGAATTCATCGAAACAAATCCCTTACAAATGGGTGAAAAAATAGAAAATGATGAAAGCTAAATGAAATGATCACTTACGCTCCCATATATGCGCCCATACCGCTACCATATCCGTAACCGTAACCGCCGTATCCGTAGTATGGACTGTATCCACCGTAGTACTGCGAAGTGGCTGGTGAAGCGAGCAGCAGTAAGGCAACCAATGGAATCAATGCGAGCATCATGGCAGATGATCAATGAGCAAAGTTTGTGATCGGAGCTGAACGGAATGAAAAATGTTTATGATTCGACCTGTCAATCCATAGAAACCTCCATGTTTAACGACATCATTATTACTTCGTTAAAACATCTAATCTAATAGATTCAACAAACGCAGTAACATTATTCAACTTGTGACAGTGAAAATCGTTTAACAAATCCATATAACTAGCAAAGCTCAACTAGGTAATCAAACCTAACACGAGAAAATCAAAATCAATTAGAACCAAAAACCGAAGCATTTAACGCGCATCAAGATTCATGATTAAAAAAAGCAGTAATCGGTCAAATCCCAGGAAATATACACAGATAAATGACAAATTAATAGTTCGCACATGCAAACAACTTTTCTTGAGTCTGAAAAAGGGCTTTCGTGCCTAGAACAAAATGAATGTCTTCAAATGAATGCGGACACATATCCGATGAACCGATTGAAAGTAAAGTTCAATTTCGATTCAGCAGTTGTGGTGAAATAAACGCTGGGGAAATGACCTCGCCGTTTTGAGCACTGCAGAGATCTAAATTTTGAGCAATCTGAATGAAAATAATACTGATCAGGAGAAGCGAATAAACATGAACTACTGCTTGTATGGCCAATATCAGTTGCTGCATGAAGAAGTTCGATTGAAACAATCGTTTATAAATGTATTAATCAGAAGGCGTTTCTACGAACTGGTTTATGATTATTACTGCTGAATCAGCAGTCGTTTTGGAATGAAAAAACATTGATATTTCGATGGTATTATTCAGTGTTCCTTTTTTTGGAGAAAAAACTAGTGGTTAATGGTTGGATTCGAACTGATTCAGCGAGCAATCTTCGATGGCGTCAAACCGTAAAGGTTATCGTAGCTAAACAATGATTTCAATGGAACACTTGCTGCAAAATATCAGTGCATTGCAGCATTCATTGTAAAAATTTTTCATAGGCACCTTGATACTATAGGCTTAGTTGACAGTAAACGTCAGAGATCGTGCAAAATCCTATGTGATACCACAGACAAACTCATTCTTATCCGCTGATTATTGCATTTCTCGCAGTCCTCTTCAAAGCGGTATCAACAATAAATGAACTAGCTTTTCACGTTCTGTTTGCTCATCAGTCTTCAGGGAATACTGCATGGTGGCTGGAACCAAACGAAACTAAGGTAAGAAGCAGGCTCAATGCACCCATCAGCAACAGTGGATAATCTGAATTGTTGCAGATCAAATGATGATGCACTAATAACCATTCTCAATGCGATAAAAAATTGAAATAATTGCGGTTCAGCAGTCAGAATTTTAAACGTTCAATCGCATTTTGGGTCTTGTTTAAGATCGCCAGATCTGACATTTACTATGGTATGCCAATCTTCAAGTGATCAAGTTCAACCTCGAATCGTAATCCTTTAATCAAATTGGATGTGTGGGAGAGCTTTGGAATTGAGACGAGCTTGGATTGTCATCTGCAAGTATTTCGATTGGTAAGCAACAAATGAAGAACGTCACGAAAAATTGCAGTATCATCATGCAATAAACATCTGAATGACATCATCTGAATTGTTCGTGAATAATATTATGATCATGCAATAGGTAAGCAGATCAATAGGTAAGCAGATTCGACGAACACATTGCTGCGCTGAACGGTGAAATGTAGTGAATTTTTATCAAACAAATGCTTCCATCATGACCTCTCGAACATCCCCAAAATATACGGCTGGCTTCTCAGTCAAGCCACGATGTGAATGGCTTCAAATCGGAGCATGCCTAAACTTTCAGTACTGATAATGAAAACAACAGCACTTTTACGTCACATATAGAATTTCGCCCTTTCTAGAACCGGTTCTCGCTGATTCCTCAATTTACACCGAACTGTCACAGTGTATTCGCATTCCAATTTTGTGGTCGTTCAGTATGATCAAATTCTATCGTTACCTTGGTTGCCATTCCAACTTTAATAAATCATCTTTGAATTCCACATTAGCCTTTCGCAAATCAGTTGTTCTCACTCGAAGCAACGATTTTCATTTTCCATTATAATTTGTCCATTCGTTATGTTCAAGGATGGAGTTGGGGTGCTCATGAGTTGACTGGTGAAATACGGGCGAAAATTCGACTTGGCTCACTTACGTCAGCATAATTGAGTGAAAGAGCAAACCTGAAATCGATGGACACAAGCTTGAGTTGCTGCAAACTTCCTTGTGGATCACTGAGCAATGACCGGGCAACACTGTTGCATTTTTCTTGTTAGAAATCCTTTCTCACCACTTTTAGCTTGGGAGGAACCCAATTCGATGCTCTCGTGCACTCCACGTGTCATCTATTGATGAGTCATAAACGTTGAATATTTCATAGTGAAAACAAAGCTTTTAGACTCGATGTTAGCCACTGAGGGCATTAAGCGAGCAATTTTTTTGAAAGATTGATGCAATGTTCATTGATAACGTCCTAGACATGTACTGAAGGGAGAGAGTGTTTTTGTTGTGATGAATTAATGACGTATTTGCACGTTAAACTTTAGACATTCCTTCTTCACTCTCCTTCTTATCAGTCAGTAACTTTTTATGATGTTAGATTCGAATCGCTGTCACTGCTTCAAGTCATTCAATAAAATATTGCTTCAACAGGAAACTCTCATTTGCTAATGCCTATTCCAATAGTCTTCCACCTGAATGGTTGATTCCATTCGTGGGTGACGACGACCTTGAACGAAAATGTTTGGCTGGAGCACAGTGATTGATTTCAGCTGAATAATTCATGGATTCACATCGTTGGCTCAGATCGATTATAGGATACTTAAATGTTTAGCAACGTTGACAATTGGGTATTGCCTANTTGCACTACTACCCGCAAACAATTTTCGTTTTTCATTAAACTCTGCGATAGTCAACATATGTTTAGGCTATCCCAACGTGCTAGACAGATGTTTTGCCTTTTCGAACGATAGAAGATTTTGCTCACGATAGAAGAACTTTGACGATAAAAATGCCAACAAATATGAATCTCACAAATTTCTATACAGTTAGAGTGATTCCTTCACTACTTCTGCTTCTGAACGGTTTTGCTTTCGCCATTTCTCGTTCATATTTTTCGCGAATTTCGCGCCCGAGGAAGTTCTCACAGCAGCTATGCCATCGTTTGCACATCGTGAATTAGTTGTATGATAAGAATACGAAATAGTTACTCGATATGTCTTCATTCTTGTGAACTTTGTGAAGAAAACCAATCGTGCAATCAAGAAATCATCAAATTACTCAGCAATGTAAAATTGTTTTCGCTATCATTTTCACCAGCACAATAATCGCTCATTTATTCTGCAATCATTGTGAGATTCTCTAAAATCATCCTGTTTGCACGAACATGAAAGAATGCTCCATCTCTAAACGAGTGTTAACAAATGTTTGAAGACAACTCATGAATGATTCTTCTTGTCATTCATGAAAATTTTTTCTCAAACGTCAATCGGCACATTCGAGAGAACAAAAATCAATCAACTCAATGAATTATTCCCAGCAAATTGCAGCGAAACAATGTTTATCACAACTATCATAAGACTGCCAGTGATGATTATTTCAACTCTATTGTAACCATTATTCAATTCAACTAACAATAATTTTTGTTCGAATTATGAATTCATTGAATTTTTTGCACCTTCAGTTTCTTCATCTTGCACGTTTATTTCAACATGAAGTACTTATATTCTTGTCCTTGTATCACTTCCCACTCAGAACAATCATCAAAGTGTTGTACGATGCATGAGATGCTCCCTTCCAAATTAACTGAGTAAATCTATCATCAATGCTAAGCAACGAACGATGCACTTGCTTTAAGAAAACTTCTCAGACGGAAGCAAAACAGTTACTCCTATGCTTGGTGTTATTTGGTACAAAGTGCTTTTGGGCGAGTTCAAAATCTAATTTGAATGATCTTTAGGCAATAATCGACTTAATAAACTCCTCTCAGGAACCTGATCAACATTCACGTTAGTATTTTATAACGTGAATGTTGATTGAAACTGATGTGGAGTGTTGTTTTGTCATGTGATCACTTGTGACAACCCACCAATAACGTTATAATCAACCAATGAACGCTCTCACGAAATTAGGAACTGATTGCAGAAATTTGTTATGCCGTCATGAATCAAACCATCGGTCCCGATAGCTGCTTCCCAAATCTCACCGCAGCACAAGTCAAAGAATTGCAGGTTTGTGTTATTTGATCGACAGTTCATGCAAAAATTAAAGTGCATTAATCGTGCTTAATTTGTTCATTTGGAACTTCTTCGTGTCCACCTTATAATGGCTATTTACGAGAGTTAGCTATTCGTCCAAATACTCGTCACTACTCACCGAATTCAGTGACTCAATCTGATTTGTTACGGGAAACGCATTGATCAGCATGCCTTGTTGGGAACTTATTACTTTTGGAAAAATATGCGATTTATTGACACATCATTCGATTTCACGGAAATTTCCATGGCCATGCTAGATATTTAAGTTGTTTTTGAATGAACCACGGGCAAACTGAATGGGTGAGTGCTTCTGAGAGCTGCGCATATTCTCAATGCCAAATCATTTCAGCAATGATGTATTCATGAGAATTGCATCGATGAACATTTGAAAGCAAAATCCATATGGCATTTGCCTCAAACCCAACCTTAAAAAAAGTTATTCGAAGAATAAATTCATAATTAATGGTTTCCTTTGCAGAAAATAAAATCGAAGGCTCTGTTTCCCGTTTATCGCCTTTACTTTGCATGGATTCCGCTACCGCTGATTGTTGTTGCGCTTTTGCTGACCATTCTGTTCGCGTTCGTCTCGTATGAAGCGATTAAGTGTCGTCGAGTCAGTCGAAAATGCTACATTTTCATAATCAATCGAGCCATTGGTGACATTCTATCGTGCGTATTCTTTTTGCTATGTGCAATCCACTTGCTTACAACCGATCAAGAGAACTTCAAGTCAGTTCGTACTCAATTTGATAATCTCTCCTAGCTGTCGTCCAAATAATACGTCGTCGTCGTTTCAAAGCATGATATCTCTGAACAATCCAACATCCGCAACATTATACACAAGCCTTCTGCTGTGCACTTCACGATGTGTAGTTACTGTCCTGGACAGACTATGCAATCCCAGAGTGACATTATCGTATATGATTAGATGTGACGACCATAGCGTTTAGCTCACGATCAGCAGCGATCAGGTACCAGGATGACCGGGTATCAGGATGAGATTGATCAGATTCACCGGGTACCGATCAGCAGCAGTGTTATCTGTATGACGATGCTTGCACATTCCGAATGTAGAGCCACATCCCGGCGAAATTCGTGTATTCGTTCATGCAAAACTCATGTGCAACAAACAGATAGCAATAAAGAGTGATCGGATAGTGGGATAAAGCTGCATTCTTTTAGTATACACATATTCATTGCGTTGGTGATACTGTGCGGTGGATGTTTATGGACTGCGATGGTATCGTACGTTAGTTTGAGCCTGATCAAACTATACGCCGTCTATAAGCCGCTGAACTATCGATCAACATTCAGTACGAAGCGATGTATGCTTTTGATAGCAATCGGGTAAATTCAGTCTTGCAAATTTGTGAAGCTTTTTAGAACATTTTCAAATAAAGCCGACAAACACACTGAACGAAAGAAGTGTTGAATTCGTATCTAGAACAGTAACATTATCCGCCTCCAAGTTCAGCTTAACCTTTGCCCTAAGCCGTAAAGATTTTGAATGGAGAAAGCTATCGGTTCAGTTGAGAGCATTCTGAATTTGTCACAATATTTTTTACCTTATCGTTAAAATTTTTATTCGGAAAAAAAGTTTTACTAATTTTGCTGACATTCAAACATATTACTGTTTCAGACACGACGTCATAAATATTCAGTTATATTCTGTTTTCCTCCCAATTTCACCATTTTTAAATATCCTCTGCAACACTGATCA